TTTGATTTTACTTAAAAAACATTATAAATTTTATTATAAAAATATTATTAGTTTGATAACTAATTTTTAATATATTTAAAATTATCTTTAAAATATAAGTAAATTCCTTTTAAATTTGAAAGGAAAACCATTGAAGGGATAATATTAATTAAATAAATTGCTTGTCTAAACTCATTTTGACTTGACTAAATATTTAAACCTTTGGTTTTACTAAATTTTTACTAAATATTTGATATAGTTTTAACATTTTTATAAATTTTGATATAATATTACCTTTTTTCTAATTTTGCTGATTTTTTAATAAAGTTTTAATATAATTTAACCAGTTTTACCTTTATTATTTAGATATTTGTCTAAACTCTAGATGTTATCTAGCAACCTTAATGATAATACATATTCAGTTAATAGTAATATTGAATAACAGCTATTAATATTAATCAGTATTAACATATAGAAGCTTTACAGTAAAAAAGAAGGAAATTCTAAAAAAAATTATTTTTTGAATTAATGTTAAATCTGTACTTATTTTACTAAAAAAATCATAATTAGTTTAGAAAGTAAAATTTTAATTTTTTTTAGAGTTTTTTCCTTTTTACTGCAAAGCTCCTATATGATATCATATGATCTATATGACTTATATGACTTTGTTATAAGTTATTTATCATTTTAAATAGTCTATGACTTATGACTTTTTAATTCAGCTTAGCATTTTAAAATATAATTTTCATAAAAGATAATTTATATTACATATAGTTTTCAAACAACAATTTTTAAATTTAAAACAAATTACATAAAAATTTATTACTTTTGATAATATTATAATTAAAAATGATAATAACAATTATTTTATTATGTTGCAATAAATAATAAATCAATTAAATATTATAACATTATTAATTTAATTAATCACATATTACAATTAATTACAATTATTACAGGAAGTAGCAATTAGTTGCAATTATAGGAAATAGCAATTAGTTATAATTATTACAGGGAATCACAATTAATATAATTAATTGTAACTTAGATTATATTCTAACAATATATTGCAACATAGTATTATAACAATAAATAATTGTTATAATTAAAAATAATATATTGCAATTAATAACAATAATAACAATAAGTTACAATTTTTAAAAGAAACTATAATTAATTAAAATTATTACAAGGATTATAATAAATAATGTAATATTTAAATAAATGATGTAATATATAAATAAAATAATGTAATATTATAATAAAAGATATAACTTCAAATATTTATAGTAGGCTTTTATTTATATAAATTTGGATTAAAAATAAAATCAATAGTTTTTTTTAATAAGACTTTGTTAAGTTTAGTAAAGCTTAATTAGGCTTAGATAGGCTTAGATAGGCTTAGTTAATAGCTTTAATATTAATAAGATTTTATAAATAATTTGATTTTCACAATAAAATTTTAAAATATATTTTTAAAAAAATCAAATATACAAATTAAATTTCTTTTTAACTTTTTAAATAATGGAAGAAAAATAATCTACAATTATTTTAGATGATAATACTAGTATATCATTAAAAAGTATAAAAATTCCAAAAAAAATTTAGGAATAAATTTTTTAAAATATAGAAACATTTTATTCAAGGCAAAGAACATTCTACTTATGATCATTATGAAGGAATATGTAAATATTATAATAAGTTTTGGACAGATGCTAGATCTAATATTTTTATGCTCATTTAGCATAATAAAATCAATTGATTTGCATATATTCTATGGTAGAATCGCTTAAGACTTACATAAATTTAATAAATCGTATGGCGGGAATTCTTATAAATTGTAATAAACACATCCCAATTTACGTTGTTTGTGATTTATTGTAATAATAATCTTTTAATTTTTGATTAGAATAAAAGAACAAAAAAAAAATTCTCGTGATTTACACAACATATCTACCTTTTTGACTTCTTGATCCTTAATTGTTTCTTCGTCATTTTGAGTTGTTTGCGATTTTTTTTCACTCGTCCTATAATGATTCCTGATGATTTTTCTCGATTTAATGATTTTTGCCTATATAAAAATTTTTGAATTTGTTTCGACAGACTAAGGAGGAGTAGAGTGTCGTGAATCAACCGGTGAACAAGAATTTGTATTATGATTTCAATAAAGGTTTAAAGTTTAGGAGTTGATAGATAATCTTGAATAACTGCTAGATGAGGCAGCATACGACGAATTTATAGATTGAAAGGAGATCGAGAATTATGGTTAAAATCTGAAGATATAAATTTCGATAGTGTTTCATAACGTTTAATATTAGAACTAAATTGAATATTTAATGTTTCCATTTCTTCCAAGTTATTAAATTTTATATCTTCTTTCGAAGTAATATCATTATTTTATTATCGACTTAAGGATAGAAGTTTTCCCTTGAAGATTTATACAAGAAATTCTCATCATATTCACTTTCTTGTATGTTATTTGATTAGAGCAATTCTTCATTTATACTTTTATAAGTATTTGCCATTTTTGATAAGGATTTGTATTCAATTTATAAATTAATTAAATTTTTTGCTAAATTACTATAGTAATAGCAAATCTAGTTTTAGAAAATGGCAAAAGTCATATTTTATTAAATGACTTTCAACAGTTTCAAAATTATTTTTTCGACGATATCGATACTTAAAGTTTATACCCGCAAATTTTATACTTTATAGTTACTATTAACAAATTGGACATGTTTATAAACGACATTTTTGTGTAATAAGAATGATCATTTTGATTATATAATTATTACTTAGACATATGAGAAAAGCATTTTTGTAAGCTTTTGTTTTTATTTCATATTTATATACTTGCAAAGAAACATATGAGGTGTGGTTAATTTAAAAAAAATGAACAAAAAGATAATATTATTAAGAATCACAAAAAATTGGAAGAAAAAAAGCATAAAGGTTGATATACAATAAATAGTTTCAACTGAATAAATATTCTAAAAGTATTATGACTATTCCTCCTTAATAACATTCTTCAAATTCCTAATAATTTGTGTCTGGTAATTCTACATTAAAAGATATGGAATACAAATTGAAACTGTGATTGACCAGCTGGTAACTTTTCTTATTACTCGTATGCTTAGGACGTCAACTTACTTTATCTCGTGAAGTTTAATATAAACTTGTACAGGCACACACGTTTTATGAAATTAATAAAGACTGATTTTAATCTGATTACAAAATATATCTAATTCGTTAATTTTGTTCAATTTATTGGTAGTTGGTCTCTAACTTCTTTAACTCATATTGTACAGAGATCTGAAAAATTGCACGATGCTAATTAATATACTGTTTAAGTGATCATAGATAATTTTTTGGGTGATGGAACATTTTTGGCAAGTTATATAAAATTATTGTGTGTGATCTTTCATATATTAGTTTGCCTTTTTATTTCAGCTCAAATATTAAATTGATCTTTTTGTTGAAACATTTTTAGTTATAAAGTTAGAAATTAATATGCGCAGTTGCTAATTAGGGCAAAAATTAAGTTTCGTAAATTCAAGAATTCATGATATGAACCATTCACATAATAAGAATAAGTTTTTTTGTTTATTATTTTTAATCCAAATCCCTTTTTATCACACCACCCGCTATAATTTATAATAGTTTTACCACTCATAAAGTGAAGACTAGACTATATGGTGAATCCGTCTACCTATCTGAAAACATGGTGAAAGAGTCTATCTATAACCATCGCCTTCCTCCACAAGAGGAAGTAAACACCCACAAAAGTGAATGCAAACCGAGGAATAGACAAATGATTTCTATTCTTATTTATATTTAAAATTGAAAAATTTGAAATTGTGAGATTCAAAGATCTTCATAATATACACTAATTATAGAAATATATAGATGATCATTTTTTAAATCACATTACTTACAGAAAGACGTAATGTAAATTCATTTTATTTACACTCGTTATACAACAACGAACAAAACTAGAAGATCTTATTATTCCAAAGAAATAAAAAAAGTTACCGAGAAAAATCGTAACCGAAAATTTAATGAAAAGAAAACAGCTTGATCATTGATAAAAAATATATTTGAAACATTTACGATTTAAAGTTTTATAATCATATTAGAACGAGAAACGTCCAAGATATATGATATTTTTGAAGAAGAGATTGGTGACTTAAAAGTTAAAATTCGAAATTTTCAAAAATTTATTAAAGAAGCCAGTAGGTGTAGCTGAGATAGAGATTGATAGTTTAGCCATAGTACTTACACCTCAGATAAGATTTTTTCACATTTTTGGATTCCTTAATGTATTTGTAACATTATTTTAATAAAATTTCACTTATCATCTGTAATACTGATTATGCATCAGAAAAAATAAGAAGATCAGTATAAACTGGCAAAATATTCTTGTGTTATATTAGTAGCTTGTGTTTACATATGGAATTTATTCATAATAAAATGATAGATATTATACATAAATATTATACTTTTCTTGTACAAAACTAGCATTGTGAATATATAGCAGTATGTTGTTAATAACTTGCAAAAGAAATTTTCTAATCCTTCATATAATTGCGAAGAACTTTTGTGCTTTTAGTTGCTTAAGAATACAATATATATACTGTTTCAAAATAGATTTCATCTCTTTGTTTATCAACACTTGGAAAAGTGAATTTATAATCATAGGGTTTACTGTCACATGGTACAAAGTTGAAGATGAGCATACAGCATACTTTTTCTCGTCCTTCTGTATATCAAATAGCCTGATCGGCTGCACTTACAATATCATAATCAGAAACCTTGTTAACTTTACATTCGATTCTATACTCTTTGTTATTGCACATTCAGATGTCGCATTTTTTTTCAGATTTTTTCAAAGTTCTAGTTTTATGAAAAATCTTATATACTAGATATAATACAATCATACGTAGTAAAGCATAAAGTTCTCCTTGAATAACTGGTTCAGAAAAAGAGTGTTGGTTTGTGGCTAAGGGATCAAAAATTACATCATAATGAATGTACTTTAAAAGGTTCAAAACTGTTTTCAAGAAGTCTAGAGGTGAGTTAATAACTGGGATTCTTACCAGAGCTTTTCTATCATAGACAGGATAATAAATGCTTAATAATAGATCGAGGATGATATTAGAAGTAAACTCAAAATAGTTGTCCTGACTCTTAATAATACCAATTGCACGCAAATGTACAATGGCAATTAAATTATCATCAACAATTTCTGATAATGATAAAGTTCCTCTTTGTAAAAAATGCTCTAAAAGATGCCTTGTATCTTTGACAAAGGTATTATTATTATTATCAGTATTATCAGTGAGATATTTTTCAATATGTTTACCGCACTAATCTTTTTTTTGTAAGATTATGAATAAATTCTGTAAACCGATCATTCCACTTATTAAAGTCCAGGATTTCCTTATTGCTAGCATATTTAATGCACAAGGATGCAAGAAGGCCTTCTAATCTAGCGTAACCATTAGTACAGCTGTAAATATCATCAACTACCTTTTCACTAAAATGAAGATTTCTATTTATTTGGATATCATGATAGAATGTCACGTGTTGTCCTTTGGTAAATCTGATGCCTCAATGATTTTTACTGAATTTAATGGTGATAGAACTCCTACTGGTTTTTGAAGGTGGGAATGGATCTGTTTCTTATTCTGTGGCAATTCCTGTGATGACTTCTGTGATAACTCCTGTGATGACATTTCAATGACACTTTTAATTTGTAAATTTCCGTCTTCAAGCATTGTAGTAATTGAAAAACTGCCCACAAAATCAATCGATTTGATTCCTTCTGCTTCTCTATCATTTACAAATTTGATTAGTTCTCTCATCTGATTGATTGTATCCACAGTATTTTGGTATTGGTTAAGTAAAAATCGGTCAAATTCATCAATCATGATTACTATCTGCTCCTCTCAGTATTTCTTCACGATTTTATGATCAAAGTCATTTATGTTATTACATAAATCCAAAGAAAGGCAGTCACACAACCCATGAAGGGATCCTATCGCTAACTTTGAAGAATGTATATAAAAATAATTCTCCTTGATGCCATTCAAATAATGTAGAGTTGATGATTTTCCAGATTGAAAATGTCCTACTAGGAGTACGCACACATATTCATTTATGGCTTCCTCCAGTTACAGATTGACTCCAGAACATCAAATGGAACATAAAAATTTCTTAAGACATCTACAGGTCTTTCGATTCTCACAAGTTTATGCGCCCTCTTTTTTTGAGAACCGAGTTCGGAAATTGACTGTTTAAGACCTGTACGAGCAAGATGATTAAATTTAGTAATACAGTATATTAAATTTCTTGTTTGAGAGGTAAAACGTTGGGAGACACTTACCAGTGATGTTGACGGGCAGTAATGGTTGCATGATTATATGGATGCTCTCCTTAAGAATATCAGAAAAGATTCAACAATGCTCCAAGATGAGTTTAACTCTCCACCTCCCATTTCTTTAACAATTTCTACATAAGGATTCTCCTTAAGTTTATCATATTTGCCATTTTTTTCTCTGGTAGGTATGCTAACTTTCCATAGCGTCAGATCATCGATATCAACAACTTCGCCAAAGAACTGCGATTTTTTATTATATATTAGTCTTTTAAGATTGCTAATGGTAAGCTCGTCATCAGAGATTAGAAGACAATTAACATCAATAGAGTTTGTTTTGCCAATATCAACTGGGAAAGAACTCGTAAGAGGATCAACTAGAATGATACAAAATAACGAAAATAATGACATTTCGAAATTATGTCTGCAAACAGTACAAGAAAGTAAGTGAGAAAGAGTTTGGAAAGGGTTTTCAAACGCGTTATATATATTGAAAGATACACAATCAACCACGTTACGATACATCATACATTATCACATCAATAAAGTACCTTTTTCATGATGACCATTCCCCAGATCATGTTTGATCAAAACAACTTGATCAATAAGACATTTTATGGTAACTAGTTATTACGGAATATGGTTGATAAATACAGCAAATAGATAATAAATAAACCCTATAAACTCTTAGTTGATCTCTGACCCTTAAATATACAAGTAATTATACAAAATTGACTTAAAATATACAAATATACAAATACAAAGTATACCAAAAATTATATTGAAAAAAATTTTCTCAGAACAATCCGGATATTTATATAATTATGAAATATTCAGTCGTACAATTGATCTGGTTCTGTATTTGACTAATGTGTGATCTACTTGCAACACAAATCTGACAAACAACTTTTTTTCGTACTCTGACCAAACCGTAGCCGACATATCGCATTGATAAAAAAATTATTGAAGCGACATTGCGCAATTAAGGTATGTATGAATATTCCTTTCGCAACTTCATCAGTGTTGGCACATAACATCATATGACCTATATGACTTATGTGACTTTATCTTAAGTCATTTGTCATTTTGAAGGTCTATGATTTATGACTTGTCATATATCTTAATTTAGGCTGGCATTATAAAATTTAATTTCATAAAAAAGTAATTCACATTACACAAGTCTTTAAATGACAATTTTTAGATTTTATATATATTGTAAAAAATTATTTGTTTTAGAGGAAGGCCAGAAATTACGTCATTAAGATTTTAGAAATTTTGACCATTCTCCCTCTCTTGTCATTATTCATTTTAAAAAATTTATAATTAACTTATATAAAATTTGTAAAACGTTATCATTAATTGAACCTCTTCCTTATATGTATCATTACGTGACCCAAATAAGACGAATTGGTGTTTCATAATGCTGGTTAGAATTAAATAAATTACATGATTTTTATATGACCTTATAAAGGTTCTTGAATAAAATTTAACTATAAGTATATTTTAATTTAACTTCATCAGAAATTGAAATGCAATAAAAATTAAAATTTTATTAAAAACTTCTCAAAATCTGATTTTTTAGCAATTTTCCTATATATAGGCTTTGCTAACATAAAGGACTATCATAAGGAAGGAAACTTTAAAAAAAATTTTTTTGAATTAATATTAAATCTGAACTTATTTTATTAAAAAAAATCATAATAAACTTATAAAGTAAAATTTTAATTTTTTTTTAGAGTTTTCTCCCTTTCTATTGCAAAATTCCCATATGATCTAAAAAATTTTGATATAACCAATAACATTAAACTTTATAACTTAACTATTTTTCATATAGATTTTGAGAATTTTACTAGTAATACAGAATGCAAACAATAAATTTTTGGTAAAGATTTTAATAAGGCTAATACTATTAATTTATTTTATTTATTTTATTATGTTTCATATTAATATAACTGATGATTAATTTTATTTTATTTAGAATATTAATGAATGAAATAGATAATGTGTATTATTTATATAGGTAAATGAAAAAATGATGTGATCTGTAAACATTAGTATAAAAATACCTTTTCGCTTTGTAAACAAATCTGTATATTGTAACTAGTGATACCTGATAAAATTACCTTTCTTAATATGACGAAATTGACAAAACTGAAATGATGAAACTAGTTTTTTATTAATGATAAAATTATATTTAACTTGATCTAAATTCCTTAAAATAAAATACATTAAAAAATATAATAATTTTATATTTATTCATATAAAAGTATTAAAGAGACAAAACTTTTGACAAAATTACAATTTTTCAAAAAAGTGTTTATTCAGGTATTACTAATTGTAATTAAATCATTTAATTTATTATTATATTATAAAAAAATTTGAATATATGTATCAAAAAGATCTATTTCATTTAAAAAATGTATAGTAAAAAAATAAGTCCTTAATATCTAATTTAGATAAAATACATTTTAAATAATGTATTCTATAAGAAAATTGTTATCAATGAATTTGATTTATTAAAATAATATATCATCAAACTTCTGATTAAGAATGTCAAAATTAATACTAAAAATGCTAAATTAAGATAGACTACAAAAGAAAATGAGATCAGATTTGTAAAATTAAAATAAAGTGATAAAAAATAGACTTAGTTTATTGTAGAACTAAATTGTAATATTGGAAAAATAAAACAAAAGCAAGTTGCTGTTAATATTTTGATTAACATACCTAAGTTTAAATCATTAGAAGATGAGAAAACTGATAAATTTTTAGATTCATAAGTAAAAAAGAAAGTAGTGATATTATGAGATAGAGAAACAGAATTTTGCATGAATCAGTACATTTATATTAAGATTAGAATAAACTCTTAATTTCTAAAATTACTTGTTTTATACTTTTAGAAAACTGAAACTAATATAAGCAGTTTACAATTATCAATCAAATTTAGTATTTGAGTAGAAAAGATTCAAATACTATCTAAAAAATCAAAATTTTCTTAATTATATAATAATTCAAGATTTTATACAAGAAGTATTTTTGGAATAAATAAATATAAATGATACCTAAATTATTAATGGAAACAGAATTTTACAATGAATATGATAATAGAAGTTGAGCTTGCTCATTTATTTTAAAAGAAAATATTAAAAGAAAGAAAACTATGCAAATAATAAAAGATTTCATATTAATGAGAAAAAGTTTAAAAAGTATTTAAGAAATTATTACCAGAGATAATGTTTCAGATTAGATAGCAAAATAATTATTTCAGAATATAATAAAACATCTTTCTGAAAATTATTAGAAACTTTAAGTTAAAAAAACCAAAAAGTAATAAAAATTTATAACCTATTTGAAAAATAAGGGTAAATATAATCAAAAATATTAAGTAAGGTTGCTAGACGAAATCAAGAGTTTAGACAGACGTCTAAATGGTAAAAGTAAAACTTGGTTAAATTATATTAAAACCTTATTAAAAAATCTGCTAAATTTGAAAAAAGGTAAAATTATATAAAAGCTTATAAAAATGGTGAAACTATATCAAACACTTAATAAAAATTTAGTGAAACTAAAGGTTTAACCATTTTGCCAAATCCAAAATGAGTTTAGACAAGCAACCTTAATATTAAGTCTTATAATACAGTTTCTATGTCAAAGTTTACTAAGTCTCAAATCTAAATTATATTAGATTATTTCAGTAAATTCAAATATGTTAAAATAAAACTAAAGAATCATACTCATATCTGAATGTAAAAAATATAAAAAGTGAGATCTAAAGTCTCATTTGAAAAAAGTTATAAATCTATTTCAAAAAAAATTGGATATCAAGAATATATTACTAATTTCTCAATTTATACCAGTTTTCTTATATAATACTTATACTTCTAAAATTATCATAGTATTAAAAGAATATTCATATCTATTGTAATAAATTTAATGATAAATATAAATTTAAGAGTTCTAGCTTAATTTCAGAATATGAGCTAAAAGGAAAGTAATTGAAAATTGAATAATACAAAAATAATTCTTATTACATTAAATGCTAATTCTTATTACATAAAAAAGAAATTAAAATAAATGCTTCCTTGTAAACAATTTTTGCAGTAAGTATTTTAACTACTATGATATAGTATTTAGTAAATAACTTGAAATATCAAATAATTCAAATGACATATTATTTATTATTTATCATTTGATTACTCAAATGATAAATGAATTAAGCTATTTGATCAATATTGTATATTATATAAAAATTTATTATTTATCTTATTTATTCATAGTAATAAAATCAAATTATTTAAAAAATTAAGTTTTATATACAGTTGACCCTCTCTATAATCACACCCTTCGGGATTGCCTTATGGTGTGATTGTATAGAGGTGTGCTTATATGTGATTATGTAATTTCAAAAATTAAAATTAAAATTACCGGT